CACACACACACACACACACACACACACACACACACACACACACACACCTGATTAGCAGAATTCTTCTAGTCCTTGTTCTCCTCATTTTAAAGGGCAAGATTGTGAGGAGGTGCTTAATAGAAAACAGGATCCAGTTTTCTTCTTCTGGCCATGGAGATAATAGCACCATTTAAAAAGGGATTGGGAGCCCTTGACCAGTGTGTGTATGTCTCCCCAGTATAGTGTCTCAGCACGAGGGAAACTTTATTCGTCAGGCTTTACTGATCTTAGGTTATGTGGGCCTTGCTTTTCCACCTGCCCAAGAACTCTTGAGGTCCACCTTCCCCTAAAGATTGGGGGTGTTCATAGTAGGCAGCGGTAGGAAATGGAAGCTAATGTGCTCCCACCCCAAACATTTGATTCTTTTTGTCTTGTCCTTCGTCTCCCTCCCAGGGCTGTGCTTTTATTTCCCCTTTTGAATGACCTACTGGACTGCATTCTCCCAAGGAACAAAGGGAGTGCCTTTTTAGCTGCAATCCTTGGAAGACCACCAAGGACTTGGGCTCCTGTGGTGAAATTTCGCACCACTCTCAACAATAACAAAAATGCGTGAGTGAATGGCCCATAAATGTGGCGTGGTGGAAGCCTTCACTTAAGGCTAGGCTACTGTCACAACACAGACGGAGTAAATACCTTTGCTTGCTATTCAGGCCACTGATAGAGCAACAACAGTAATCTTGACCATTTGCACTGGCCCGTCCATTTCGGCATGTTAGCCTCCTCCTTCAGGAAAAGAGGCTGGCCAACTGGATTTCGGGTAGAAGTGTTTCACTGCCTGCCCTGTGATCCGAAGCTGCCTCTGGCTGAATGAGCTCAGTCACTAGGCTTTTTCCCTTTTGACCATGTTTTTAAAATGAAACATCTCTGTGTTTCTAGAAAAGTAGTATAATTCTCCCTTCCCCCCTCTCTCAAACTCCTCCCCCCTCCCACTCTCAAACTTTGAGGACTAAATGGCGGCCTTGGACATGCATGGTTGGCCTGTCATGGTAGAGCTTTGAACATACTTCCAGAACACTATGTTCTGAAGATGGCTCGGACTTTTATAATTCAGGATTAAGATGATTTGTTGTGCTTTGGGGGACATCCAGGAGCACATACAAAGTAGAGGGCCCAATTTTTACTTCATTTTCCTTTACTGCAGTAATATGTGTTGCATGCCTACTATGCTAAGTATGCTCTTAGGCCCAATGGGGGAATATAAAACAGCATAAGGCATTAATTCAAAGAGCAGTGATTCAGTGCTTACTGCGTATATTCTGGGCACTCTGCTAAGTGCTGAACGTACAAAGACAAAAATGAAAGTCTGCTTTCTAGGAGCTTCCATTCAAATGGGGGTGGGGCAGGGGTGGACGATATACACACATATTAGTGAATGCAGAATACACATACTGAATCACAAAACTTTAGACTTGGAATGGATTTTCTTGGCTACCTAGCACATACCCTAAATGAATTTCTCCTGTAGCATACCCAACAGGTGGTCGGCCAGTCTCTTGCTTGATTTCGAGAAGGACCACAGCACCTCCAGAGCCATCTCCTCCCATTTTCAGGCACCTCTAATTGTTAGGAAGATTTTCTTGATATCAAGCCAGAATTTACCTCTTGGCCACTCCTACTCATTGCTCCAGGTTCTACCCTTTGGGACCAAGTAGAATAAGTCTAATCTCTCTTCCAAAGGACAGACCTTCACATGTTGGAAGAGAGCTATGCTATGTTCTCTTGGCCTTTCCTTCTCCAAGTTAATTGTCCCTAGGCCCTTCACCATCCTGGTTGCCTTTTCTACGCTTTCCACTTCATCAGTCCCCTTCTTAGACTGTGGAGCCTGAAAATAAACATGAGACTTCAAAAGTGGTCTGAGAGGCCAAGAGGGGAAGGGAGAAAGACAAAGGCCTCCGGGAGTAGATGGCACTTGAACTAAGCCTTGATGGGAGTCTGGGATTTCAGGATGAGACGAGGAGGGACAACTGTATTCCAGTCGTGGGGGGCAGAGCCTGGAGATGGAATGTCAAGTAGAGGGAACAGCAAGGTAGCCCAGTTCATCTGGAACATAGTCCCTAAAAGGTTTTGATTGAATAGAAAAGGGGAAGCTATATTAGTGTTGCTTGTATATACAAGGCTGAATGTGATCAGTGCCTGAACCTAGTATAAAGTAGGTGCATAATAAACATTTATGGAGTTGAAATATTTGAGGAACAACTAGTCAGGTAACAAGTGGGATGGTAAGAAAGCAGAAGGAAAGTAATTGCCAACAGTGACTGATAGGTCTGTACTGGCACTACTTGCCATCCATTTTTTGCTCTTTTGAGCAGAGAGGATAAGGAATATGTTGGATCAGGATAAAGACTACATTGACATTCTCTTACTCTGTCTCATCTTTGCTTTAAATTGCTCTTAAGATCCATCCAGTTGGTTGGAGATTCTTAAAACTTGCCACCTTTTCCCTGGTAGCAGTGAAAGATCATGTAAAGGGCAGGGTAGACATCTGGTGGAGGAGAGAACAGAAACTCAAAACCCACTTTCAGGCTTCCTCTCTCTGGGCTCCCCCACAGCAGGTCAACCATTGACCGTGGAAGGCTAGTCACATCCTGATGGACGCTGGGAGTTGGATGTTTGAATGTTGTTTGAATGTTGTATAGATTCTGGTAGAGAATGCAGAGACCTAGTCTGCTTCAAGAGCTTTCCCCTAAGGAAAAAGCTCACTTTGGGCCTTATGGTATCCACTTTGATGCTTTTATTGCTTGATTTCTCCAGGTGTGATCCCCTCGCGTTCTTTGAGGGGGGGAGATGGAGTTATGCACAGTCATCAATTC